TGCTGACAGGGTCTGTGGCCCACGGCATCCCCTCCCGGGTCTGTATTACCCAGAAGCAGAGGTGAGCGCCTGGCCCAGCATTCCCCAGCCTATCCTCTCCTTGACATCTGCCCGGGAGGACCACAGTGTCTTCTCTTGGGCCTGCTGCAGCAGCACGAGCAGGAACCTCCTCACCCATTCCATGGGACTCAGACCCTTCTGCCTGGCACATCTAGGCCATCTTCAGCCCCTTCTCCTTTCCTTTCTTCAGAGAAGTGTACACATGTCAGAGGCTAATTTTAACCTCCTAGTCAGATTTGAAAGCTTACCAGTGAAAACCAGCAAACAGAACAGCTAAGTGAAACCAGTAAATCAGTGTCGGCCTTCACTCCAGGCCGGGCCAACTCCCCTTACCACCGGGAGAAGCTCTCATTCTGAGTTCTGAGTGCTTGCTGGCCTCTGGGAACCCCAACCCTGACCCTCCTTCTGCTTCTGCACCTGCCCAGGAACTACTGCCTCAAGGCCCGCCCTGGGCACAGATGAAGAGCAGAGCCATAGTACCCTGTCCTCAGTACCCTCCAGCATGCGCCCCTTCCCCAAACATCTTTGGAAACGTGAGGCCACCACCGGCCCTGAGATAATTCTGCCAGACTTAGCAAATGACAAGACAGCACTGAAATGTCAGATTCATACTCACGCCAAGTCGTGTCTCAGTGTACAAGACACACTAAGAGGATTATCTGACATTCACGTATCACTGGGCCTCTTAGATCTTACTGAGGAGAGACGAGGAGCGGGGAACCGTGGACGTCCTCCCTCCCCTCCTCCCTCTGCCCGGCTTTGGTAGAACATGCCGCTGTGACTCTGAACTTTCTAGAAGAGCCAGCCCATTTATTGAAGTACGGAATCTAGATGTATATAGTGTAAGAGGCAACTTCTTTGGGGAGAATGTAGCTCTTCGGACGAGAATGTGAGGTCGGCCTGGTGTCACACCCAGGAGTGTCCTTTTCATTTCTGGGTCACTGAGAATTTTGTGAATTTACAATACATCCTCTCCTTCCTCCTCAACTCAGCCAACCAGTCCACCAAAACTCTTTCGTGCCCCTAGGCAACTCCTTCTGGCATGAAGCAGCAGCTTTTTTTTTTTTTTTTGGAGAGGTTTTCGCTATAGGGTGCGTGCACTCGCCAGACAGACAGAGACAAAGAGACAGAAAGTGAGAAATCACCCCCCAGAGGGGATGGCCACACCGCAATCCCTTCTCCTCCATTCTCCTCTCGGGATCTTGGGCACGCATGCACACGCGCCCAGTGTGAGTTTTAAGCCGCCGGGTCCAGGACGCGAACTGCGGTCGACTACGTGGGAGTCCTGCAACATAGCCATTACGCTAACTGCTGGTTCCCGCAGCAGCATATTATGGACTATTTCAGAGTTTGGAACCAAACAGTGTAGAGTTTGAATTTGGCACCATTGTTTGTTCTTGTTCTTGAGCAATTCACACCAAGTCACTACGTCTCAGTTATAAAATGGGAGTAAGCTCTTCATGTAAGTGGCCTTTGAAAATGGCCCAGAGAACCTGACAAAGTCATGCAAAACAAGAGGTTCAAATCTTTGTGTGCACTTTAAGAACACTCACAAAACTGCCCAGGCCATCAAGAGTATGCACATCCAAAAAGCCACCAAATATCTGAAGGATGTCACTTCACAGAAGCAGTGTGTGCCATTCCGTCGTTACCAAGGTAGAGCTGGTAGATGTGCCTAGGTCAAACAGTGGGGCAGGACACAAGGTCGGTGGCCCAAAAACAGTGCTGAATTTTTGCTGCACATGCTTAAGAACGCAGAGAGTAATGCTGAACGTAAGGGGTTAGATGTAGACTCCGGTCATTGAGCACGTTCAGGTGAACAGGGAAGCGGAGAAGCACCATCGTACTCAGAACTCGTGGGCGGATTGACCCGTACATGAGCTCCCCTGGCCACTTCAAGATGACCCTCACTGAACAGGAGCAACTTGTTCCTAAACCAGAAGAGGAGATTGCACAGAAGAAAAGATTTCCCAGAAGAAACTGAAGAAGCCAAAACTTATGGCACAGAAATAAATTCAGCATAAAATAAATGTAAACAAAGTTAATACAAAGGGAATACTGGTAACTATTCACAGAGCTGGATGAGAACCAACGAGTACAACATAAGAAAGGGGAGTTAACCTGACTTGTTTATGAGTTCCGAACACCAATGAGTTGGGTGAGTGGTTGTTACTCCTATGTGTATTCCCCAAGGTAATTCAACAGCTATACAAAGCAGAAATAAATAAGTAAATAAATAAATAAAGGATGAATAATTCGACTACAAGGATAAACACATCATTATACCAACTAAACATGTAGAAGGTCTGCAGGCAGGCCGGATTAACAATTCTACACTAGCAGGGCCAGCCAGCGGTGTGGTGGTTAAGGAAGTTGGATCCTACATGGCCGACTGTGTGGTCTGGCTCCTGGACCTGGTAGCTTGAAATTCACCCAGGGCGTGTGTGCATGTGTGCCCAGGATCCTGAGAGGAAAATGGAGAAGAAGGGACTGCGGCATGGCCATCTCCCCGGGGAGAGATTTCTCACTTTTGTTCTCTATTTCTGTCTGTCCCTCTCCAGCAAGTGCACATGCCCTATAGCAAAACAAACAAACAAACAAACGTGTCCACATCAGCAGGTCCAGCCATGGCGCTGCAGGCGGCAGAACTCACTGCCTGATCCTGGAGCCACGGGAGGGCCTGGGGTTCAGATTCCCGGTGGGGCTGAATATGCTGGGCTTACCAGGGACACAGCTGTGGTCCTGGCTGGTTGGAAGCTGGTAGGGATGGGGTCATGACATGGTACGACCCTATTGAAGATACTTCTTTCTCTCCAAAGAAATACACTTTTAAAACTTTTTTTTTTTTTTGAGAGGTTTTTGCTATAGGGCGCATGTGCTTGCCAGACAGACAGAGAGAGACAGAGAGACAGAAAGCGAGAAATCCCCCCCCCCAGGGGGGATGGCCACGTTGCAATCCCTTCTCCTCTCATTCTCCTCTTGGGATCTTGGGCACGCACACACATGCGCCTGGCATGAGTTTTAAGCCACCGAGTCCGGGATGCGAACCGCAGTTGACTACATGGGAGTCCAGCGACATAGCCATTACGCTAACTGATGGTCCCAAAACATTTTACATGAATACATTCCTGGACAAGGCTAATCCCTGGACCAGTTGACAGAGCGTTTGTCCTGAGAGCCATACCAAACCCTTTCCCTGTTGGGCTCTGCATGGCAGGGGTTCTGAAGGCTATTTCCCAAAACAGTGTTGGCTGGTTTGGTCAGTGGGAGGTCACGAGGCAGAAGGAAGAGAGAATCTTTCTCTTGCCGTGGACGGCGATTTCCTTGAGCTTCTCTGGTGAGCCCTAGGCTCTGGTAATATCATCTCTTCTTACCCTCCCCCTCCTGGGGCAGGTCAGTTTCCCAAGGTTGCTAATCCTAGATTGACTGTTTTGTGTTTG